TATATATATATATATATATATATATATATATATATATATATATATATATATATATATATATGCTTTTAATATTTTCGTTTATAAAATATCAGAAAATATTAATCCCAGTCTAATTGCTAAGGCTGTTCCCTTTGCATACGCGTTTGTGGTGAATGGTTACATTCAATCAGCGGAGTCCCCTGTTAATTATCGTTAAAAAAAAAAACCGCTGTCTTCTGTCACGCGGCTGAAAATGTCACCCTTTCTTTTGAAACAGCGGATTCTTGTTTTAGACTCTCCCTGGGAGACTTACACACTCCTCAGCTGCGAGGAGTGACTCACCACGCGTATTTACCGTTTCTTCCAATATTAATCCGCTAAGCACTTTACATATATCACATTACTCTTCAAAGCTGCGATTTGTTCAGCCTGTAATTTCACCACAATTAAATCCGCCTAGAGTCGGTAGAGACACTATCGGCCCTTGCAGTTACACCGCACCAGGCACTCTGCCGCTGTGCCAATCCTGGAGGGTTAGGTGGGGGGTCGTTACCTGTTTGCAGCAGGGAATCCTAGACCCAGAATACTGTTTTGTGTTCATCCAACACAATATACAAAACCACGTGAATCTGAAACGTTTTGCAGTGTTAGTTGAACCAGACCCCAGACAGAAGGTTGTTGATTTGAATCCTGGCTGATCTTCTGTAAAATGACCTTTTGTAGAATGTCTAGCTGTGTAAAGGTTAAAATTATAATTATGGTCCATAAAGACTGTTAAATCAAGATTTTCAATTTGTGATGTTTTCATAATACCCCACAACCCCAACCAGGTTAAGAAATGAGAATGTTTATTGACTGATATTTCTTGAAAAGCAGCATAATCTGTGTGATTGTAGTAGACATGAATAAAATGTTTTGTTTTTCAAATGAGATGTTTTGTGGCATGTGTAATTAGTGGATGATTTGTATAACCCAGTACTCTAGGTTATATAACTGGTCATTTCAGTTCAGATGCACCTGCACTGAAGGCTAACTGATAAGGCCTCATCCGCTTGCTGCTGCTGTCAATACTTTCTCTGCCTTATACACCCCTGCCTCTTATACACCCCTGCCTCTTATACTTATTCACCCCTGCCTCTTATATACCCCTGCCTTATTCCAAACAAATGCTATAATGCTAATTAGAATGAACGCTATCCCATGCGTCTCAGTTTAGATGGCTCCAGTGTGGGACTAGGGCATGGGTTAGATGTTCAGGGCTGATTCCCCAGTCTTTGGGTGACTTGTTTTGGTTTTTGGGCTGGAGTACAAAGGTATTTTTATGGGGACAGACTGGTAAACAGGAGGCACTTCTGGCCTGGCGTGGTCCAAAATGTGCTGTCACACTACCGACGTGATTCTGGGTTCCACCAACGCACAGAGAAAGGCCTTTTGGTGCCCAGCGGCTGAGGCCTTGTCTCAGCCTGGTGAACATGTGTCACCTTGCTCATGCACTCTCTCTCTCTCTCTCTCTCTCTCTCTCTGCTTGTCTGCAGGGCTCAGGGGACGATGAGGGTGCTTCCACACAGTTTCCTCGTATGCCCTGGGGGGTAAAGAGCGGGCAGGTGGGGTCGGTGCTTCCAGGGCCTTTGCATAACTGCCGACTTCTGTGTGATTAATATGTTTGTCTCTGTGAAATGAGCAGCGCTGGGGCCATGTTTGCAGGTTCCATATTTGCAGGTTCCAGGTCTGTCACATCCAGTGTAGCAGATGGTGTTCTGACCCACACGCATCTGTTTTTTTCTTGTCTGTCCAGTTTAATGGGAAGCTGATATACTGAGGCTTGATTTATCAGCCTACTGGCCTTATCTCTATCTCACTCTTTCTCACTCTTTCTCTCTTGCCCCTTTTCTCTCACTCTTTCTCTGGTATCTGCTATTTGCATTGAAAAAGTCAAACCCACCAAGCGAAACAAGGTCATACTGTGTGTCTGACTGAGAACACATATTGTTGGTGTAGTCATCTGTTCCTCTTCCTGGTCAAAAAGCCATGTACTGGGATTTTTCCACATTCCACTGGTGGCCTCAAGCTCCCATCTGCCCAGATGGCACTTGGGAATGTCCCAGCGGTGCCCCCTGCTCCTCCCCACAGGTAGATGGAACCCGGCCCCATGAAGCAGATCGTCTCCCCTGGGATGTGCTCTGCAAGTTGTATCACAGACCACGCTTCCTCGATTTGCCTCGTAAAAGTCTTCCCTGGGGATGATTTATCCCCCCTGCTGGCTGGGCTCCTCACAGATGCCGAAACAGGGATCGTGGGTAAACGGAATGCTTTTAGCACGTTTTTACGAGTCGAGCCAAAGTGCTCCTCCAAACGTTCCCAAGGTGTGGCCCGATGGGAGAGCAGCTCTGTCCCTGGAGAGCGCTGCATCGACGCCTCGTATTCTGGGGTGCATTATCTTTAATGTCTCTCAAAAACGTCACATAAGAGCTTGCCGTTTCAGGCCCCCCAGGGAGGTGACTGTATTTTCCTGGTACTAATTTATGAAGATCACTCACAAATATAACTAAGTAAAAATGCAGAATTATTGTTTCTTCGGATAAGCATAATTGAAACTCAAGTTAACGGCCAAGCATTAAATGAGTCTACAGAAGGCTTCCCCCTTCACTGTCACAAAACTTAAATGTCTTCAGGACTTGGTGAACAACTACCCCCCTTCCCCCCACTACTTCTTTAACAATAGTTCCTTCCTGTAACACAGGCTATTTACAGTCTTCAAAAGTGTGACTGCAGATGGATCGTCCCAATGCTGATGCAGTAAAGGGGTGGTGGGCTGGTGTGGAAGCCATTGATTTTTAACCATTCCTTCAGCGAATCCACAGTGCTTACTACCCCCCCCCCCCCCCCATACCCGCCACACCCCATTGTCCAATCACTCCCCGGCTTTTAGGAAACTCCGCCTGACACCTTTAAACACCACATCCCGCCCCCATTATCAGCCTGATTGCTCGTTTAATAAAATGCGCAGCATAATATTGTCACTCTGTCTAATAAAAATACCCAGGCTGTTAGATGTTCCGCCCGAATGCCTTTGTTCTAGTTTCCTGCCTTCGACTTTTTTTCTGTCTCTCTCTCTCTTCCACTCTTTTTATGGTTGTTTTGCTGGTCATGATGATCTCTCTTTGAAAAGGAGAAGAAAGAGGAGAAATCATTGCAGCTCAATCTTTAGCATCACTGGCCTCTGTAGCTACTACTGTCTCTTTTATCTGTTTTTTTCTGTCCCCCCCCCATTTATCCCCCCCCCCCCCCCCACTTGTCCCCCTACCCACCCAGGCACACACTCACTCACACATACACACACACACACACACACACACAAATCAACTTTATCTCATCTTTCCAACCACAACAACAACGCTATAAATGGAGGGGGTGGGGGTTGCGGGGGGAGGGGGGCTGCACCATCTCTGAGAAATCAGCAACTGTGAGATAATTCTGTAACTAATAAAGTGAAAGGGACCCTTTGATGGCTCGAACTGAAAAGATATTTTATTTTTGTGTGTGGGATTTGAGATGTGTGGCTCTATGGAGCCCGTCGGCTCCCCCGCTGTTCGGCTCTGGCTGGAAGCTGGCCCCCTCTGGTTAATGTTATGGAGAATCGCAGGAATTTTATGGCTGTCTTCTCCCTCAGCCCTCTTTTTTCTTTTGTTCCCCTTTGAAGAATGACTTTAGACATTTTATTTACATATTTAACCATGGATGAAAGAAAAGAGGGGTGAAGAACGAAAGCTCCCAGAGCCCTTGTGGGAATTTTGATAAGTTTAAATTAATGGAAATCTTATTAGCTATTTTCCAAAGCATTTTTCTTAAGCCCGTGTTTCCTGTTTGCTAAATTTTTATTATTATTATTTTCCAAAATGTGTTTAAAGATGGACGTCAAAGTGAGTAAAGACAATGGAGATCATTGTGTAAAGGGGTTCTTTATCCTGCCGGTTTTTAAACTCACCCACATTGGGGCGTCTTTTTCCGAGGGTGCGGGCCGCACCGAACGACCCCCCCCCCCAGCAAAAGGATCCGGCGTTCTCGCAGCAGAGCACATGCCACAGTTGCCGCGTCTCAGACTGCAACACCGGCCACATGGAATGGGCTGAGGGAGGAGAGTGCTCCACTCGCACTTTCAGATGACAGGATGAAAAGGGACGGTCAGTGGGGGGAATGGGGAAGGGGGGTCGGAGGGGGTGGGGGGCGCCTTTCGGGGACGTATTTGCATTGTTGGTGAAAAAATAAAAGGGCACGTCGACTGAACGGGCGGGACGGGCAGAGGTATAATCTACTTACAGGAGAGACTCCCTCTGTGACTCATTCATGACCCTCAATGACAAGAAACAACACGCTCGGCTGGGGGCCAGTGTGTTTATACAGATGCGTCCCGCCTCGGCCGGGGCCCCCGCTCTGGCCCCCACTTTGGCTTATTTAGTCATTTCCCACTGATCATTTGTAAGGGAAATCGGGAGCAATCCAGCTCGGCGACAGCAACACTGACCATGCATTAGAACACTCGTTTGATGCCGTTTCTGGTTCTTGAGAGATCGGTCAGGACGGGTGCGGCGGTTCTGATCACGTCCCCGTCGGGCCAATTAAAGCCAGATTTCAAAAACAGGTTTTGTGGGGAGTTTGATGGGAGGAGTCAAATGTGGGGCACAAACCACCTCTGAGACCATCAGGTGGGGAACCCCCGCCACGCGAGGTGGCCATG